AATTTATAGAATTCAAAACAAGATAGATTTTGCTGAGAACAAATGACTGTGATCTTTCACACCTGTTTCTTACAGAAGGATAATAACCTTTTGAAACAGAAGCTGAAAGATGCTCAGAACCAACTGAATCACGCAGTTGACAGCTTAATTCATCCTGAAGAAATCTTGTCTCGTGTGAATGAGCTCAAACGAAAGCTACAGACTGGTGCAGAAATCAAGTGAGTTAAAATCAGATATGTTAAACATTCATAGGGTGAGGAGATGAGTTTACAATTACTTGCTCATTCATACCTTGCAAGCTACTTACAACTCTCTGCTGTGCATTTGCTATCGTTTCAGGATATGCATTTCCCTTTCAGGTTCTGAAAAATACTTGTTTTCAGTGTTGTACAAAATGGCCTTCAATCTCAAAGTAATTTTTATGTCCAATGACATGTTTGACAGAGACACAATTCTAGAAATATGTCTTTCAGGCATGTAAAAACAAATAAAATACTCTTCTCCCAACCACTGTGCCTTTCCTGTACTGAGCTTGCTACTTTTCCCCATTCAAGGTTCCCAAACGCATGTTTGCTGTAGCTTTGAGAAAATCATGGAGTCAGGACGGTAGTGGCAAGCTGGAAATGCATATCTCTATTCTAGCTACTGGGGGGATGGGGGGAATTAGTGAATTGCTCCCCCAAATAAGAATTCTGCCCTTTCTATGCCCTTTCCATGCAAATTTTTTCACTCCCAATTACTACCATTGCAGTAACTTAAAACATCACTTGAGCATTTTTAAATACAGTTTAGGCATCCAAAGAAAAGGGACAGGAAAGTACCAAGGGATTGTGAATGTAGCAAACAGAGGAGTTCTTATATAGGAATGATTTTTAGTGTGTCACTCTCTGCACTTCTAGAAATGTGGTGACTGAAGGAAAAATTCATTTGCGGGGGTCATAATTCTTATTTGAGAGGGGAAAGCCCTTATTCCCTCCCCCTTTGTAGGTATATCCTTGACAGAGATCCCCATTATCTTTGAATATCTATCTTAATTATAAATCTTACATCTTTAGTGGAGTATTGTTGATCACCAAACAAACTGTTCTCCTTTTTTCTTTCTTTCTTCCTCTCCATTCATTTTGTATGATGGATTTTTTTAGGTGTCATAACTCAAAAGATATTTTAGGGAAATGTCTTGGAGATCTGCAAAAACAGTTTGTTGAGATACTTGCTCATTTACAGCAAGAAAATGAGGCATCCCAGGCCAGAGAGAGAGAACTTCAAAAGGAGATGGTATCTCAACAAGCTAAGCTGGAAGAAGAACAGGAAAAATACCAACTGGCCTGCAACAGAGCTGCTGAAGCCAAAGTAAGAGAAAGGCAAATTAGGCAGAGAAATGAAAATAAGGGAATGAGAAGCATTCCGAAGATGCTCAATCATTTAGTCTCTTTATATTGTAGTTATAGACCCAAATAATAAATAAAACTAAACATGGAAAACAGCATAGAATATATGTTTAAATGGTTACAAAACATCGATAATTTAAAGTATCTAAAATATTTAAGCTGTGTCTAAAATAGAATGTGCAGCTCAGTACGTGACCTTTACAGTCTTTATAGTTAGTAAAATGTTACATCATATTTCCCTTTTTCTTGCATTTTACTTTCAGATTAAATCTGAGAAAAAACAGAATGTGACCCGAGTTCGACAGCTAGAGAATGAAATCCAGCATCTAAGTGAAAAGCTGAAGAGCATGGAAGAAATCCAAGGGCTCACAGATCAACAGCTTCAAGAAGCTGAGGAGGAGAAAGAAAGACTTCTTGGTCAACTGGAAGAGCTGACAAACAGGGTAGGTCTGCACATTTTGAAAAACATGAATAGTTTAGAACTTGTTCAACTAGTGCCCTCCAAATATTCTTGAGTTCCAACTTCTAGAATTCTCCAAATAGGAGCAATGGCCTAATGTAGTATAAAGAATTCCCTGTTCTTTTCTGTAAGTAGTAGTACAGCACATCACTAGGACAACAGAATTCCCAAATATTTATCTAAATATTTTAGATACTTTAAATTATGTTTAAATTCCCAACAGAAGTTGGGAAAGGCCAGTTGGAAATAAGTTGTAAGTTCTACACAACACTTTAAAAGTATCTACCTATTTGCATATGGTTTTAATGTGAAATGTTTGCTGTGAAAAACAAACATACTACACTCCAGCAGTTGCAACGGTTACATTGTTTTTCATGTCCATTGAATGGTGCTTTCTTCCCTTTCAGAAAAAAGTTGAGGATGCCAGGGCACAAATGCAATTCATTGGGATTGATAAAGAGCTGAAGGAGTTAAAGAGAGCAATATCGGCATCAGATAAACAGGCGACAGCAGAGCTCTGTGCAGCTAAAGATCAACTACGATCACTTCGTGGGACTGTATCTAGAATTAATCAGGAGCGCACTGAGGTACAATATGGTAGAACTGTACACTTATACACTATGACATTCTTGGGATGGCAGGTGGAATAATCCACCACACAGGATTTATCCCCACGCGCCAACCCATGCTAGCAGGAGCCCACATTCTTTTCAGTTATAGCTCAGTTACAGCTGTCAAGACTCCCTCCTACTCTGGCAGTTTAGTTATCTGGCCTCTTCTGACTGTACTTCATATGTATTATCTACAGTTATCTTCCTTTATTTATCTCCTCCCCCGTTTCTTTTGTTATTAATTATATCCATGGGAGGGTGTGGATCACTGCTCCTACCATCCCAGAATGAACCTTCTTGGTAAGTATAATTTTTCATTTTCTATATGCCATATGGAATATCATATGGCTCTTATAATTTGGGCATAAATTTCAACTATAAATTGAAGTGTGAAAGAATGTAATGATTTTTTTTAGTAATAAAATATAGATTTGTTAGTAGGATGGATGCAGTACCTTACTACTTAGTGAAAGAGGAACAAAGAAGGAATTGAATCATTACTTCTTCTAAGATCACCTTTCTATTCTAGGTGCTTCAGTTCATATCTGAAATTATTACAGCTCCAAGTATGGCCACCATCTCTCAGTCACTGTTTAGCATCTTAATAATAGGATCCAGTCAATACTGGACTTTATTAAATAGGCAGAATATGTTGGAGCTCTCTGCTGATGAATTCAGCTGAAGTAGTACAAATGCAAAAGAGTACCTCATTAATCATTCTTTTCGCATAAGACAATGAACAAGACACACATCACATTTATAGAGCTTTCAGTCTAATATTAACACATAATGCCAGCAAATGTGTGAAATAAATTAATACAACATCTTTCTTTCTTTCTGAACTGCAGGAACTTCAGGAAGCAGAGAAATTCTGTATGCAGGCCACTAAGGCTTCTCAGGATCTTGCCAGGGCAGAAGCAGAAATAGAACTATTGCAAAAACTTCTGAAAGAGAAGGAGGAGCAAGTATGTTATCATTCAGTTTACTCTGAACATTCCTAAGGAACACCAAACATAGGGGCAAAAGTGAAACCTAACTAATTATAAGCCAGAGGTACCAGATTCACTTTTATGTCTTCTAGTGAGGCCTTAAAACCTGAATGAGGGCAGTATTCAGGAACAATTAGTGGATTTAGGTAGATCCCAGAGTCAGATGAAGGTGTTGGCTATGACATAGTTGCCTTGGGAGAGCAGTGAGGATATACTATGTGAGTCTCTAAACTTCTTCACTAAAGTTTTAGATATTTGCAGAGTAGTTGACTTTGTCACACAATCTTGTGTCCAGTTTTGTTAAACTTTGTATGCAAGGTCAAAAAGGGTTGACTGAGGTGTTCTTGAATCATTTCAGTATGAAATGGGAAAAGCTGTTGCTGAAACTACTGCTTCCTGTTCTCAGAAAGAGGAGATTGATAAGTTAAATCAGCTTCTGAAATGCCACAAAACAGAAATTGACCGACTGCGCAGTGCATTAGATCAGGCCAGGGCAGGTAATATTTTCTCTCCAATTTCTTTTTCCTCCATGGTTGCTTTTAAACATATTTTAAAACAAATTCAGATGTATTTCCATGTTTCTGCAGGCCAGTATCTTGTACTGAGAAAGTCATTCCAAACCAGTATATTTCCATGATGGAAGGAAATTTCCATAATTTCTGTGATTCTGCTTATCATGAGAAAGGGAAAGGAGTTCAATGAGACACTGAATCCCCTTCTTCTGACCTATGGACATACTGGAAATATACAGGCTTGGAGCTACTTTCTCAGTGTAAGCATTTAGTTGCTCAATCTGATTGACAGGTTCTTTCATTTACCTATAATCTCACACATATAATGAACTAAAAATCTAAATTGTCTTGCAGGCTCCCAAGAGGAAATTAGCAGCATTTTGAATGAAATTGCAGTACTAAAGCATGCCATCTCTCACCAGAATGATGCTATCGCCAGCGTAATGGAGCCGCTCAAACAGAGGGGACACTTGTTTTATGTCCCTTCATCATCACAAGTATGAAAACTAGACATTTGATGGGAAAGAATCAGAGACAGATATTATTTCCTCATGGATCTTTTAAAGTGCTTAATGAATTTAGAAAGGTGGATTGGAGATTAATTTTCCATGGAAATTATCTGTAGTTGGCAAATGTCATTTTATTTTTGGCATGAGATGACTTCTGTCTTGCAGACTTTTCTGGCTCACTGTGGGTGAGAGTGAAGGTATATACTCTCAGAGACAAGAGTCCCTTTGGGCACATGCAGCCAAAAAAATTAAAACATCTGTACTCTATCCCATCCCTCAACTTGCTTCATTTCAGCAGCTTCATTTAAAAGAGAACAAAAAAATTATCTCCCCTGAATCGCTGTTACTAAACAGTAAGAAGTCAGAAAGTGTTGCAGATCTATCTGAAATCACTGAGTGATCAACCAGTGGATCCTAATCTGTCATCTACCAACTCCTGTTTTATTTCAGACTTTTCCCTTGCCTCAGCACTAGCTGCTCTGTAAACACAAGTTCTCCAAAATTAGTCACAGCTAGTTGCACTAAGAGAGAGCCAGTGTAGTGTAGTGGTCTGAGCATTGGACTAGGATACTGGAGACTAGGGTTTGAATCCCCACTCTGCCGTGGAAACTGGATGACCTTGAGCAAGTCACACTCTCTCAGAGGTCAGTTTCTACAAAAGGAGCAGATGATCAGTTACTCATTGGCTATATTCATGTGAAAATGGGGGACAAGTCCTCCAGGAGGTCCTTAAATAGCAATATTTGAGGAATTCTGAGAACAAATTTAGATGTGGACTATCATACATTAGTCTCTTCTGCAGATGGGAACACCTCCTCCATACACTGCTGCTTCTTTCATTGTAAGACATAAACATGAGATAACATATGATTGTAATGTTTAAACATGTTACCACCTTGCTTTGTAAGAAACAGTCTTCAGATTTGTACCGTGGGTCTCAAAACCTGTTATGCAAATCAGTAGCATCTTACAGTGTGTTGCAGCTTGTCTTAAGCCAGTGTCCCAAATGACTCAGTTGACTTAATCATACTGGATAACCATGTTAATAGGCCTCTTTCTTACAACTGCTCCTTATTTATTCATAAATATGTGCACTATGTTTTTCTGACTGAGGTGTATACTTTTTGACAACAGTGTTGTGCCATATTTAACTTGAAGGTATTGCTGACCGGATTAAGGAACTAGCCAAAAATTGTATTGTCCCATATTTTGACATTCGTAACAGAAGCTGGGCCCTGGAGAGTATTGTGTTCTCCCTTTAGCAAAATTACTAGGGCATTTAAATACCCCTGCTTCCCTGTTTTCACTTTAAATTTGATTGTCAGTTCCTTATTTTGAATCAAGGAGCGGGAAGAGGACTCATAGATGACAATAGGTAATATTTTTCATGAAATGTTTAACAATGTTGTTGCATGTTGTTGTTTGTTTCTCAAATTCTCTTAAAGGCATCTACTCCTGCATCTCAGAGTACCAAAGATTCTGGTGTTGGTTTACAATGTCCTATGTCAACCCCAGTCAAAAAAGGACTTGGAGAGAACAAGCCAAGCAAGAAGGAACGTTCAGCCTCCCCTACCGTCAGAGGGTGTCGGTTGCATACTCCAGTCAGGAATGGCCTACAGGAATCTGTCTTCAATGAAAGTAAGTCAGTTCAGCTATCATACCGTATCTGATGGTTGCTTCTGTACTTTTTTCAGAACTGTTTGCCAAATACAGTTTCTCCTATTGCTCTAAGAAGGAAAAGCATGAGTTTCCACTATATAGCTGTTAAAACCACAAGTGACTAGTTGTGGTCAAAAACCCAACAATGCTATTATTCCACAGGCATGCAAATTATAGCCTATATCTTTGCAGTCTTACTCAGAATTAGATTCCACTGGTGTTACTAGTTCTGCCATCACAGGATTCTGCTCTTTTCTGTATATATTTGAAAGCTAGTGCAAGCAGTGTCTGCTGAAGCCACCTCTTTTTTGCCACCATTTCTGTACATCTACCTTGTTGAACAGAAGCAATTCCCCACCTTATTCGTTGCTATTTATTCTAGAGATAATTGTTGTTGTTGTTTTAAATGACCTACATACCGGCCCAGATGAAGCTTTCAAACTGGCACATATAGTTGCATATAACTGCAATAAAATTAGACAGATGCAAAGCCATTTTGACAACAAATAACATCAGATATGCAATTAGAATTGTTTCTGCACTCTGCACTTGTTCTCTTGAAGAGGGATGTTTTTGGCTTTTTGTGCCTGTGTTTCTATTCCCAGATTTCTTGACAGTATTCTTAAGCTTTCAGGTCAGATGTTTTTGTTGTATTTTCCAATGCAGGGAACCAAGAAGGAGGTCAACTGAACATTCATGATGCCTCTTCCTTTGTACCACCTCCTGGGTCAATCATTTATACTCTGCTGCCAGATGGTGCTCCAGCACCACCAGGAACAATTGTGTATTGTCCACCTCCTCCGTCCATACCAGCCAATGGAGGAATTCTTGCTCCAACTACAGTGGTACATGGTTCGCCTCCTGTTGGGGCTCAGCTTGTTTATTATTCTCCTGTTCCTGCTAACTGTTCAGTGCCTCTTGTTCCTGTTGGAGTACTTCATTGCAATATCCCTGAACATCACAACTTGGTAAGATTCTTGGCTTGCCAGACACCAGTTCATGAAACTCAAATAAATGTCTTAATGTTATGGATGAAAATTGGAATGTCTGCTGGTTCTCCTCTCCAGCCAGCCATGTCATTAGGTTGCTTTAAATAAGCCACTCTAGCTATACCCCACCTGTAATACAGGAATGATAAGCATTGCTAAGTTTTGCTACAAAAATGCTATGCCCTATTAATAATAGGACAGCTAATAAATCTAGATCACCAGTTCATAATTTTAAAAGATGACTGATTCTTGCTTTCTTTTCACTATACACTTCAGACTTTCTCTTCCATAATCTATATTTCCTATTACTGAGAACATAGTAATTACCATGTTTTATATAAAACACTTGAAACCTCAATAACTACTACAAATGGATACTTGCAACACAATTTTCCAGGTTTCCATTCTGTATTTTGGGTGATGTATAGTTGAGATTGAGCTACTTGTCTCCACAGACACTGAACAGTCATGGGACTGTGTCTCTCTAGCATGCATCTGGTGTATTTTCTTACATAATACACCATCATGCTGTGCCATATACAATGACCTGGCATACAAGTCAGAGGCCACATGAAGAAGTGTCTTTCCATCATGAAGGACTTTGCAACATTACACTATGTTCATATTTGTCTGTTGCAGGAAAATGAAATCTTAAGGCTAGAAGACAGTATAGACAAGTTAAAGTCTCAAAAGCAGGAAGGCAGTTCTCCTAGATACTCCCATCATGATCATAACAGAGAGATGGAAGAATTGCACCAAGGCATTCAAGATCTGTTGACTGAAAGAGAAGAGCTGGAGCACCAAGTAACAGAGCTACGTAGGATAGCCCAGAAACGAAATAAACGCAAGTAAGGAGACTGTCTCAAGGATATTGTTTGCCTTTCTTTTCTTTGAGCCTGCCCACTGTCTTAATGATAAAAGGCCTGTGGCTTTTTTCTTCTCCCTCTGTGATAAAACTAGTAGTTTGGGATACATTGGAAGTGGAGAGTGGGACAACATTTGGAATTCCTAGGAGCAAACATTACCTTTTCTGGCATCTATTATCATTAGGGAAGATAGCATGGATTGGGTAAAATGGGAAAAGGGGTGTGGGTTTCATCAAAAGCTTCCCTTGGCTTTATTTTTTTTAAGGTAATTAATAATCCCTCTTGTGTTTTAGAGACTTCCTTGATGGACAAATAAGTGGTCTCCTTTCAGAGTTGGAGTTAGAGAAATCTCTACAGCACCATGGGGACATTGTGGATGAAATCAAATGCATGGAAAAAACCCTCTTGAAGCGACGGGCAGAACTCCGGGAAGCAGACAGACTTCTGGCTGAAGCTGAAACTGAACTTGAAAATACACGAGGAAAAGTAATTTTTGATTTTGTGTGTTTCAAAAAGAGGCATCAAAACTCAAAATTGCAAACGATACCATAAGGCAGTTATCATGGGGTTTTGGCAATATTTGTTTAGAGGGGGTTTGCCATTGTCTTCCCTTGAGGCTGAGAGTGTATGACTTGCCCAGGGTCACCCAGTGGGTTTTCATGGCTGAGCAGGGAGTCAAATTCTAGTCCAAAGTCATAGAAAACATTCAAACCACTACACCATGCTTATTCTAGTGGATTATTTTTTGTTATTCTACTGATTCTTTGTAATATACAGGCAGCCCTCCATATGCACAGATTCTATATCCAAAAAGCAAACTTTGATTTTGCCATTTTGTATAAGGGACAGCATTTTACTGTGCCACTGAATATAATGGAACTTGAACATTCATGGATTTTGGTATCCATGGTGGATCCTGGAATGAAACACCAGCAGATACTAAGAACCCACTGTACTTCTCTATGCTGATTACAGTAAGCAAGTGTAATAATAATAAGGAGCCTGCTAATTTGAATAGAAACATTCTTCTCAAAATATGTATATATATATATATATTTTTCTCTAGACCAAAGACACCATCCAGAAATATAACAGTACTAAACAGCATTTGTCTCGAACTGAAAAAGAAGCCGAAGAGCTGGAACGACGGGCTCAGGAGATGGCTGTGAGGCTTGTAAAAGCAGATCAGCAGCTAAGGTAAACTGTGGAGCTATGTTAAGTCACACTGTTCAGCCCTACATAGTAGGGTGTCATCTTGTGGCTTATGAGGCACTTGTGGATTCTGAATAGGTCCCATGTGACTCATTCCAAGCTTCTCCTGAGGATATGCTGAGAAGGGCTGTGGAAGAGGGATGTGACATTCATTTTGATCAGTGTCTTGTGGCTGTTGGCCTCAAGAAGATTCTTAAGATTTGAGTCTTTTTGCTTATACCCTGTATAAAACTGAAAGAACTGTAAGAACCTGAGCTAGTAATCATGGACAGGTAACCAGCAATAAACAGACATTTTTATGAATACATTTCAGATTGCTTCAGGCAGATGCAAAGGACTTAGAACAACACAAGATGGAACAAGAAGGGGTTCTGAATGAAATCAACAAAGTCATATCAGCAAAAGATTCTGAATTTCAGTCCTTGAGCCAGAAGATTGAAATATTGACCGAAATGTAGGTTAGACTGGTTTTGATTTGCAATTATCAAGTATAGGAGGTATTTTTTAAACAAAAACAAAAACTAAATTCAGGTATTCGAGGAATCTTTGTTTTTCATCCACAATGTATCTATTTAATCTCTCACTAATTCACACTGCTGCCAGTGCTCAGAATATTGTACTCTTCAGAGGGATATAAAGAGCCATGCAAACATAAATAAATCAAATGAATTTGGCATTATCTCTTAAAGGATGCCTGCATACAGAACTGCCTCCGTCACTACACCGCTCTCTCCTATCTTTGTGCTTGGTGATGTGAAGGGCTAGAGCAGTGGTTGCCAAACTTTGGTCCTAAAGGTTTTGTTTTTTTTAGATTTAAACTTCCAGAAGCCCCAGCCAGCTTGGCAACAGTCAGAAATTTCAGGAGCTGAAATCCAAA